TCTGATTAGCATTTTTGTACAAAAGAAAAATATAATGAATAACATTTTGTTCAAAACCAAATGCACATGATGTATTGAACAAGAAGATGTGGTTGATTCTGTCAAAGGCTGTTTCCTGACCAAGAGCTACAATACTCAATGGAGTGTTTGTGGTATTACAGTAATCGGATACAATATCGCAGTAGATAGACGACTTTCCCAAAGATACGGCGTTTCGCACGCGCGCGCATGTCGTTTTGGGGTGTTACGTAAACTTGCATGCGTGATATTATGCTTCTTGGTACACTAATCGTTGTCACAAAAATAAAATTCCAAAATTTCCATCTATCGACTATCAGCAAACTGACATGTTTGTATTTTCAGCTATGACAAAGCAGAAGTATTTTTGCACACCAGTTTTGCTACTTCCGGGAAAGTGGTCTATTGATGTTGTCGTGAATGTGATCTGCAGCTCTGATCAGGATGAATGATGGAACCAATGACAGATCGAAGACGGAGTGAGAGTGTTTTCGTGAAGATCTTATAATCACTGCACAGGAGGCTAACATATCGCTAACATATAAGTTTTTAAGGAGGCTAACATATAAGTTTTCAAGACAAGTGATCTTCCTTTTTTGTGGAGGAATGTCACGACAGCCCATGTGCAGAATAAAACAGGCAAAAACTTAGCAGAAGTCTCTACGAATGATGCTCCGAAAAAGTTATATGGGAGTGCACCCACTGGCAAGAACCTTAACTATTTTCGTAACTTCTTCAAAAAAATGGTTTCATCTAGATATTCACGATCAGCTTCACTTAAATAATATTTTGTGTGTGATGTGTAAAGGCGTGTATCTCACAAGGATCGTCAGCTAGCCTGCAATTTTCCCGCTGAATGTGAGCTATCGCTTTCTGTGCCCGGTCTTCTTTTGAAATAGTCCTGTGACAACACTTCAATTTTATGTTTTCCAATGTGCCACTATGCTTGCAAATTTTTGAATGTATCGTGACGTTATTGTTGCCACTTGGCCCATGATTCTGTATTGACATTCACATATTCTGCGTCTTCAAGAACATCAGATGTTCAAACACCAGACAGAAAATAAAAAAAACTGACAAGCAAATTAAAGTAGAAAAAAAAGGTAAAATAAATTGGATTGTTTTCCATATTTGTGATGGTGAATATTTGGTTTACTAATGCATGTACATGACCTTATCTTGAGATAGCTGACTATATTGTTCTTCGTCCTCCATGGCGCTCTTTTCACAACATAGACATTTTTTGTCAGATATATCTGTGTTGTTATATCTCCCAGTCTCTATTTGTAGTCTGTGAGCACTAATCCTCAATTTTGTCATTGATGATCTGTGATGAGTATTTTTGACTACGTGTAAGTATTTTCCAAAGCCAAAGTCTGTTTTCAGTTCTCTGTAAGTGCGCCATTCGAATTCGATATATACGCGCTGCATTCGAAGTACAGAAAATTCTGGAAAATGCTTCATATTGGATATTTATTTTGTATCTGTGATCATCGATACAGAGATTTACCGTGTGTGATTCGATGGCTTAGTGACACCATAAGATGCTGAAAGTTCGATCACAATCGAATGTAGGGAACTGCTCGATGATGTTGGTAAGGCAGATACATTGCGAATACCGTGGCTGTTTATTATAGTGCGCATATTACCTAATATGTCAAAGGCTTCAAATTAAATTTTAAATTCTGGAGAGACATTCGTCTTGAGTTCTACTGTCCAACAACGAGATGGTCCTATGCGAATGAGCTATCATATCGGTTGACTGTTTGTATTGCGGTGCTTGTCCTGACGGTTGGTGGAGCAAATGTGTTACTATTCAAGTTTGGTATTGATTCTAGTCATAAATGGTTAGAAGAAACTGGGCAATTATGCTTCCTAGAAGACAAATCTTGTTGCATTCGAATTTTTTAAATCAGAAAGCCGAAATTCTTTTATGTTCGTTGAACCAAGAACAATGGCCGTTGACAAGCTGCTTCAAGGTATGCCAATCAGGCAGTGTTATTATACATTCATCTACTTTGACTGATTATGTAACACGTGAGTTTACAAACCCATTTATTGCACACTTGTTACATTTAGCTGGTGATATTGAACTCAACCCCGGTCCCCGTGATAATGATGTCATTGAAGTCGTGTCGTCCATGAAGTCAGAACTATTAAACGAAATGAAAAAGATGAGGGAAGACATACATCATGAGTTACGTGAAACGTGTTCAGTGATAAGCCACGAGTTTTTTCAACTTAAAAAATCGTTTGACAAAGTTGAAGTGGACGTTCGTGAACTGAAGGAAAGTAAGCATGCAGTAAATTTAGACTTGGCCTCTATATCTATGAAGCTGGATGAATTATGTGATCGCATAGAAACCGTCGAAAATGATGCAGATAAATCGGAATCGATCTTGCGGAGGGAAAATGTTCGGCTGTACGGAATTGAGGAGATACCGGGTGAATATTTTGAATATGCATGTGAACAAAAAGCAGTGGGTACCTCGTGATATAGTTAGAGCACATCGAGCACCAGGTAGTAGAACAAATAGTGCGCGTCCTGTTATCGTAAAGTTTCACCACTGGGACGATAAAATGCTTGAGTTGGCGGCCAGATCGGAACTTAAGAAGGTTGGTATCGGCATTGGCAATGACTTTACAAAGCGACAACGAAAAACCGTTACGGATTATAAGAAGCAAGGTAAAATTGCTTATTACAAGAGTGGAAAATTGGTTGTAATAGATAAGAAGATAGAAATGGATAGTACAAAGAAAACAAGGACCAGAAACACGGCTACAGAAACACACAAAAGAAAACGCAAGGACAAACATATATCAGGGGGAAAATTCTTCTCTCTGGGTTCTCCACACTTGTCAGGGGGGAATCTCGTCTCGTCTCTATATCTCGTCCCCTTGAGGTGCGGGATCGGGAAAGTCACTTATACTTTACAGTCAAATAAGACGCACACAGCGAAATACGTTTCAACACTCGTCTTAGTCGGTCTTTTTTGCACTCTCCAAGACACAGCGCCCTGGGGAAAAATCCCCAAGACTATCGCAAGGCTGACCCAAGACTAGCCCAAAACTGGACTGCCTCAAGGCTCGCCCCAGGACTGGACTCTCGACTGCTTCTCTCGTGGAGTATTCGCCAAGACCAACTCAAACTCTCTTTATTCATTTTCAAAACTCTAACCAATTACAAAGCAGTAAAAAGACTCTAGGGCGTAACCTTCAATCATAAAGCCAATCACACCAAGTACTGAATACGTCATATCTTTTGATTAATCGTTCACTACATTAATAACTACGGATACCAACTGTCAGAATAGCGACGGTTATCTCGTAATTAGTTCCAAATCACTGAGCCAAGTTCCGTCCAAAACTTCAAATAGGTCTAAACGATGACAGACATAACACAGCAATTCGCTAATAATCAACTAATTAAGTCGGTCAACAGATACGCAAAAACAAATTCATGACAGTATCAACGAATTCTCAGACTGTATGTTTATCATCTCGATCCCAGACAAAGTGACATCATCAGATGATATTCATGAACAAAAAACAAATACTTTTAAATCATTTTTTCATAAATTGTATTACGCATCACATTACCTATACTATCAAATACTTTTTGTTTTAACTATATATAATTATATGCACGCAACCTGACCCTTTGACCTCGATTTGGCTTGGACTGAATATTTTATTTTAAACAATATTCTGACGTGAAATACAAAATGTATTTCAACACAAGTACGACAGGGTTGTCTGGGGTTTCTTTCCTGATTGTTGAGTCTTCGCAATGTGTTTTGTATAACTATTGTTGTTTCCCCCCGATGCTGAAGGACCGTAAAGCTAAATGGCAGTTACATGCATGGGCTGAGTGAAAGAAAATATTTCTAAGCCTAAAATAAAACCTAATATTACACCTCTTTGTGTATTTGTTAATTTTACATATGTTTGTCATGACAGTATGTTTGTAAATTATCTAGAAAAATCTCGTCTTTCGTT